GGTTGAAAACCCTAATAGCTTAACTATATAAGGAACCCCTAAGGCCCCAAAAATGTGTGAAAGTAATCCTTAAGGGTTCTTAGACGTTTTGTGCCTCCTCCTCCTTCTCCTATGTCATCTTGTTGCTCATGGTGTTTGTGACTCCATTAGAGGTGCAACATTTGAGGCACTAATCTTTCAAGAGTCAAGATCAAGGAGATTTGTGATTGTTATTACTACATAACAATCAAGGTAAGATCTAAACCCTAATTCATATGTTAATTCGGTTATTCTATGCTAGATCTAGGGTTTATGAGCTTTGGATTATTATTGCATGTTTATTAGACAAACTAAATCCAAAGCTTTAGGGTTTGCATGTACACCATAGGATTGATGTAGTGCTCAAAACTCATCAATAGGATCACCTGGCTACTGGTTGAATGTCAATATTACAAGGTGTCGAACAGGATAAATCAGACCTTACAGTCTTCTATATGGTGAATAACGAACTTTTTCCTATATATATATATATATATATATATATATATATATATATATATATATATATATATATATATATATATATCCAACCAAACAAGTATATTATAATACTTTCGTTAGACTATCAATGAAATGTTCTATCCTTATCTAAAAGGTATGAAGTTATTAAGATTATGTAAGACACAAGCTTAACTCAACCTACCATCTACTAATAACATTTATGTAGAATATCCTAAATGCTTGTTAGGATGAAGTTTTTACAATCCCGCTCATTGTCATTTTTGAAGATATATACTTAGAAGGTTTTTTTATTTTTTCTAAGTGGGAGCATTATGGAACTTTAAGAGCTAAAGAACCATAAACAAAGTTCATCGTAGTTTGGAACTAGCAAGTTTTTAAACAGTTGTTCAACATGTTCCAATAGTTGATCAGAAACTAGAACACATAGAGATGCATCTCATTCATGTATGATAATCAAGTATGAACTTGATTAATTTTCCTCGATATAGTATGACTATAAAAATTAAATGAGATTTCAAAAGATAAAACATACATTGATTAAAAGTTTTTCAGATTTAAACTAATATCTCATAAGTAAGAATCTTCTTTCTTATAAGAAAAAAACATATTGTGATTTCTTTATAAATCAAGATGACTCTTGTGTTTTCGACAAATCTAGTGGGAGAGCAGTTACTTTCCTCGTCTTGTATGTTATTGACATACTAATTCTTGGCATTAATATCTACTCACATAGATCATGGAAACTTAAAAGATTAAGTAGGATTGCATTAATTGTCAAGAATGTTAAAGATTTTAAGATATAAGTATCTAAGAGAGTTTATCTTGTCAATCACATATGACACGATTTTGATAATGCCTCAAAATCCTAGTACAATAGTTGAACTAGATAGTGTGAATGTATTCCATATGTTGTCGTAATTAGATTCATCATATATGTCATGATTATGCAGAAAAGCAAAATAAGTCGTATGCCTGGAGCATGATGGATAAATACTAGTATAATCCTAGAATAAGTCATGGTATGGCTGATACCAACATTCTAAAGTACTTACGAAGTACAAGAGAAAGGTTTCAGATCTGAAGAGAATTTGAAAGAAAGATGAGTGTAAACTGTTACACAAATGAAAACTTCCACATAGATTGAGATCGATCTTAATCACAATCAGGTGTGTCCTCATTATGAATGAAGGCGAACTTGCATGGATGAGAGTTCTATGCAAATTTTAATTACAGTTACACTACAAAGATAGAATCCATTGTTGTTCAGGGAACCATATATGAAGATACATAAAGGTTTAGTTTATTAATAACTATGACTAATCCCATTGCACGAGTATTGATATCTAAGTCATATCTAAGCATCTAAAACATTCTCAAAAGTTTTCTCTATATGCGGGATATAACTATGAGTAATCCCATTCCATGAGTTTTGGTATCTAAGACGTATCTAAACATTTAAAACATTCTCAAGATTTTCTCTATATACGAAATATATATATATATATACATATATATATATATATATATATATATATATATACACACATACTTAGGATCAAATGAGATCAATTATGAAATATATATATATATATATATATATATATATATATATATATATATATATATGCTTTTTTGCCGCAAAACCCTCCCACGTACCGACGTGACTGATGAATTTAATATTCATATGTTAATATGAACCACCACTACCGCAACAACCGCAACCACCATTGGGTCACATATTTCTTTCTACCGCAAAACCCTCCAGCATACCGGCATAACGGAAGAATGTAATATTCATATATGAATATATAAAGTATGTTCATATATGAATAAATATGCATATTCTCATGTGATTATTCATAAATATATATATATATATATATATATATATATATATATATATATATATACTAATGGTTATATCGTCCCGATACTCTAGAACACTTAAGCGGTAGAATATATATGTTCACATATCAATATTACATTCCTCCCTTGCACCGATACATTCGAAATTTTGCGGCAAATATATATATATATATATATATATATATATATATATATATATATATATATATATATATATATATATATATATGGTCCAGATTTATTCTCGTGTTCTCGACCTTTTTGGTGTTTTCATTTGATCCTACTCATATATATATATATATATATATATATATATATATATATATATATATATATATATATGTGTGTGTTTGTGAAATAAAAAACAAACCCATATCATGATTTTTGAAATTGCAATTAGTTTGTTTGACCATTAAAGTGAAATATGGAGATTTAGAACAATATGGGTACCTTTGATTTTTGTGCATTGTTCGATTACATTGTCAACTATGAGTAAAGTTGGGGACATTGCCATGTACTTAAGTATTTAAATGCACAGGCTTACTTGAGATCAAGGTTCTAAAATGTCGTCATGACTTCGTCACGGCGTGCCATAGTTCTAAGTCTTATATTCGACGTCGCGATTTAATAAAATGTAGTCTTAAGTTATATATATATATATATATATATATATATATATATATATATATATATATATAAATAGGCTTAGGTTATTTTGTTTTTATTAACTATTGTATGCCAGAATGCACAGAGGTGAACCAATGGATGAAATTAATCAATGTACATGATTTAAGAGTGTATGATATTACAATGGGATAGCATGTACCATATAATCAAAAAAATTCTAGCAAAAAGGTATTTTGGACAATTAACTACAAATATAAAAGGAAATTTTCGGATTTTTAGGGATAATTAATTCTCCTATATTTAAAATTTTGATTTTTTTAATTAATTCAATTTTAATTCTAACGTAATTTGTAAACATAACCGATTTTTTATTCTGTCAGAATATTTTTTTGGTTAGAATGATGCTCTTTCCGAATTTTATTCTATAAGAATATTATTGAAGAATAACAAAATTCTTGAATCCGAGTTTGAAAAATAACAACATTCTAATATATTCTTATACATCCGAACTTAAATACAAATTCATACATATTCTTACAGACTAAAAGTCTTATACATTTTAATATAATTATACCTATTCTAAAAGAATATCAACAAAAATGAATAAAATTCTTAAAAAAATAACAACATTATTAAAATGTGAGTACGATCAAACTTTATTCATTCTTCAACATTATTAAGCCTTCAACTCATTCTTCCAGCCATTCTTATCACAAATACAATAAAAACTAATAATGGTTAAAAACATGTTACTTGCAATTAACTATCACTTTATATATTCTGGTAGAATACATAGAATATGAGAGAATGCATAGAATATATTCTGGCAGATCTAAGTTGTGAGAAGAATGAAATTTGAAACCCTAAATTTACCTGCATTCGCTGGCCAAAATCTCAACATTCTATATATTATTCTACCAGAATATAACATTCTCTGTTGAATATTCTAACAGACTAATATACTTGTTGCATAATATTCTTAAGGAATGAATCATCTGTCTTTTAGTGCCAATTATCAAAGTTTCATGCCTCGAATTTCATCGCAGTAGAGAGAATATGGACTTTTTATCCCATAATCTACAAACTGGATATATTTTGTAGCTATGATTATCAAAATTTCTGAAATAAAACATAAATAATGGTTAGGAAATTGTTAGATACTTCTATTGGAAAGATTATAAATGTTTGATGATATGTCAACAAATATAATTGAAGCTGTAACCAAGATACTGAAAAAAAAAACAATTATGTGTCATATCATGGAGTTTAATCCTTAATAAAAAATTCATAAATAACAACGAAAACCATCCAACATAAAACATTCTTAAAGAATCATTAAACTAAAAGCACAATTACAATGTAAAATTCTAACAGAATGTCTATATGATATAGAATGTATATATATTCTTGAACCCAATAAACACCTTCTGGTTCCTAAATTGTATGAACAAACACTTTCAGTTGTATGTTACGGAATATTAAGATTCTTGAATACTAGAATGCAACAATATACATATACAATGAAAACAACCACATCTAAAGAAAATAGACGTGGAGTGATTGTTTTTGTTACCTTTGACTTTGGAGACAAACTTTGTAGGTTCATATTTTCGTTGAACTTTGGTTTGATTGAATTCATGGTGAAGTGAGTAAACGACTGGTTTAACAGCTCTGTCATTTCGAAGAATTGAAAGAGGTAGCAAGATAAATAATAACAACTCGTATGTGTGATGTGAGAAAGAAGTTGGGATAAATTCTAACAAAAAAGATAAATCTTGGGGATGAGAATTGTTGAGCGAGATGGTGCCATGTGGTTACTTCCAAAACACTCGCATGTCTGCTCTTTCATTAGGGAAAGTACAGTAAATCAAACTTTTTGGACACCGAGAGGAGAAGAAATTTCACTCAAACAAATTAGAAATTCAATTCTATTGTAGAAATCAATGTGGTAATGAAACTAAATAACAATTAGATTCATCGTATATAAGGTAATAAAAACTAGGGTTTCAATGTAAACTGAGATGGAATTCATGGATTTTACAATGATCAGCCATGTCGAAGGTGGAAAGACCAGCATCGGCGTACTTGAGCATAGCGTCAACGACACCATCACGGTCGATTCTACCCCAACCGCCACTTGTTTGCCACATTCCGTTAAGTACTCTGCATATCTCCAGCGAATCGTTTCCGTTCTTAACAGTGATCACCAGTGGCTTCTGATTTTCGGCTGTGACACCAACCGCCTCACACCAGACTTCACTCTTCCTTTCTCCAGTTCCGACCATACGGCGAGTGTCCAGACTTCTCTGAACCTGAGGTTTGGAGGAGCCTAGACTCCTGAGATTGTAGAACGTACGGGTTAAAGTGGCTGAGGCCATATTTCTGTTGCGCAAAGAATTTAGATGAAAGCAGTCAAGCAGAACACAGGGGGAGAAGATAAAGTTAATTTGGTGGTGGCTAAAAAATGGCAGTCGACTGTCTTCCTTGTTTCTCTCCGTCCGGAGTATTTGTTTCAGTCAACGGAATGGGGGGTTTTAGGGTTAGGGATGTTGGTTTTGTAGGGTTTAACTAATTAAGGAGAGATTAAATGAATTATTTTTTTACCATAATTAGATATACTAATTACCATTATACCATTTTTTAAATTATTTAATGATTAATTATTTCCTCAATTCTTATTGGTGCATACATGCATACAATAGTTGCTAGAAACATTGGAGCCTAACTCTCTCTCTCTTTCTTACTCTCTCTCTCTCTCTCTCTCTCTCTCTCTCTCTCTATATATATATATATATATATATATATATATATATATATATATATATATACACACACACACACTCACACACACGTAATTATTAGTTATACATAAAGATGTCGCCTTAAGTCTCGTCTTATAAACGATATTATTCACCACAACTCGTAAACGCTTGAGAAATGACATTGCCGTCAAATCGCCGACTAACTTTATTTAGAACTTTCCTTGAGATCAAATAATATGATACATTGTTTTTAAAGGTTATTCATCAAAATAATAAGATAAACCTACCCATGAGGGAATGAAATTTCATTGTTATCATGTTAAATTATTCGTGTATTATATCATTATGCTCTTATTTTTGTTTCTTGATTAGAACATTGCACCTTAAATTATGATAAATATCTATAACATTACCACTATCATCAAAGATAAGAAATTAAAATCAGAGAATATAATAAAAAAATCAATCATTTTTACAATTATATATAACGCAATAAAAGAAAGGTGATAATAAAAAAGTTCATTTCAATATTAAAATATTAAGATTTATATATATTATACATATTCTACATTACACAATTTTATACACACTAAACCAAATATGGAATCATATAACCTAGTTTGCTATCTCTTGTATAGACTTAAAATTCTATCGGATCGGCGATTGACTTCTTGAACCAACTTATTTTGATATTTTACAGTAGAAGTTATATGGTTTTTGCAAATATACAAATGAAACATCATATGTTTTGATAATTTTTCTAAAGTGAATAACCAAAGTGTTCTTTTTACTCCTTTTTATTAAAACGATGGTTAAAAATCAATCACCGACTACACCATGATCAAGGCCGTCTACGTGCAACCCTAACCTTGAGGCCATATTTCATGTAGAGAATGACTGAAACGTTAGGAGCCACAACGTGACCTTCCTCCATTTCGAACTTGTAGTTGTGCAAAATGGTCGCACCTACGGCCTTTATTTGAGCGAATGCCACTTGTTTCCCAATACAAGTTCTTGGGCCAGCATTGAATGACAAGAACTTGTACGATGGCTCGTGCCTTATCATCTGCTTGTCGGTGATCCATCTCTCCGGCTTAAATTCTCGACTATCGTTACCCCAAATTCTTTTCATTCTCCCCAGCGCATACAATGAAAACAAAATCTGCCAATTATTATATTATATGCAAGAACAAGTTCAGTACAAAAACAAAGTTCCCATCAATCTCTATATATGTTGGTCGGAAAATTATGGATTCCCCTAAGTTTGTCATTTTTTTTCCTCAAGGATTTTTTTATGTTAGTAAGTATTACCTTCATGTTGGGATAGACACGATGGCCACTAGGAAGAACATCGGGTTGAACAGGAGCCTTATGCTGGAATGGAACAGGCGGGTATAGCCTTAATGCTTCGCAAAACGCAGCATGTAGATAGACCAACTTGTTAGTTTCCTCTGTATCGAAAAGTTTAAAACTTCCCATTTCAGAAGTTGGGATAATCACATTTATCTCCTCCCGAATCTTTTTCTCGACGTCTGGGTGGGTGATAACGAGCCAAAGGAACCATGTTAGCGAGGAGCTTGTTGTGTCCCTCCCTGCAATCATCAAATTCAAGATCGTGTCTCTTAAGAACTTATCGTCATATTTGAATTCATCACCGAAAGACTGAGGCTCGGTTATCAATGATGTCAATATGTCGACACCATCTGCGTCACCTTTTGACACGAACCCTTGACTCAAATCTTTTCTTTTTCTTGAAATGAGACCCCCTATCACATCATCTAAGGTTTCTGAAGCCTCCTTCAGTTTCTTCTCCTTCCCAATCCCCAACCACCTTTGTAGCTTCCACACGCTTTTGGGAATGATGTGACGTGCGAAAATGGCTTCTTCGGCATCGTCCATGGCCCTCGAGAACGGCACGTCTTTGAAATCAACAGATAAGCAGCCAGGGTCGTATCCAGTTACGAACATGCAAGTAGTGTCAAAGGTAAGCCTTTGAAACACATCTTGCATGTCCACAACAACCCCTTTTGAGGCCACATAATCAAGAACAGGAATCAAGCCCTTAGCCACCTTTTCAGTGTTCATCCTGGACACGAACCGTAGAAACTTCATATTATTAATTAAAGCACTGGTTAGCTTCCGGTGGCTCCGCCACAACTCGTAATCGGAATTGAAAATACCGTCTCCGAGAATTTCAAAAATCTCCTTGAATTCTTCGCCTTTTGGGAAATTCAAGAAATTGGAGCTCATGATATGGTGGATATCGGCGGGATCTACGGTGGCCAACATGTTCATCTGAAAGAACCGTGGACCTTTGAACAAGAAAGTGCCGCCGGTGTGGTTGAGAACCTTGGCGCAACGGTCGTGGATCGTGCTGATATTACGAACTAACGCCGGAAGCATAGCAAGAAATGGCCAGTCGGTCATTATCCGGCGCCGTTGTCGGAAACCAGTGAGACAGTAGTAGCATAATGCTGCGAGGATGAGCTCAAAGTAGCCGAAAGGCAACACCATTGCTACGTATAGTTGTGTGTGAGAAGAATGAATGAGTAGATGCGTAACATTTGTAGTGGCGAAAAGTCAATCTAGACTTTGTTGATTGTTGTGTGACCACGTGGTGACCAATAAATGTGAAAGAAGATATTCTCTTTGTATGAAAAATAAAAATTCTAATCTAATACTAATAAAGAAAACAAAATCTAATTTCGTGATTGTACTATGTATACTTTTACTACCCTAAATATTTTGGGCAAAAATTAAACAAAGATAAATTTAGGCAAATGGTGCTTGTGGTTTACAAAATAAATTAAATGTAGTCTCTAAGTTTCTTTTTTCACTTCTTATTGGCGACTTCTATGGTTTGAAAACGTTGTATTGTATGTTTTTATGGTAACGCCATTAAAAAAAATAAAGAATATGCATTTATAAAATCCTTTTTCTGATTATCATGAAACCATCTCGATCGAGATTGCAACCAAAAGCAGACAATAACGTCACTATATATAGATCAACACACACTAACAACAACCTACTCCAAAATTCATTAAAGGATATATATTAAAGGGTTTCCCGCTGGTCCTCATTTTTTAATGTTGAAAGTTTAAGTCTTGTTTTCTATTAAAAAACGTTTAAATTACTTTAGATTTGTCTTTAAAAAATATATTTATAAAATGACCAATTTATCTTAGTTGTATTTATTTATTACATTGTTTTTCTTTTATCATATTATTAAAACAATAATTACTCTCTCTCTCTCTCTCTCTCTCTCTCTCTCTCTCTCTCTCTCTCTCTCTCTCTCTCTCTCTCTCTCTCTCTCTCTCTCTCTCTCTCTCTCTCTCTCTCTCTCTCTCTCTCTCTCTCTCTCTCTCTCTCTCTCTCTCTCTCTCTCTCAGCAAATAATTTTAGGTTGTTAGCTTTATGGACATTTTGAAAAGCATTTTTAAGGTTAAATTGCAAAAAAAATCACTATATTACAATACATTTTCGATTTTGAAACCGAGTTTTTTTTCTCAATTATATTAATCTATTTATAATTGTGTTGTAATATCCACCAAATGACAATTTCTCTCTGTTCTTCTGGTAACCATTTTTTCCGAATTACAATAAAATCACTAAGTTTACCAAAATTTCGATTTTGACACCGAGTTTCAAATTACAAGAAAGTCATTGTCTTACCATAAAATTTCTATTTTGACACCGAGTTCTTTTTCTCAATTAGGCCATTACATTTACAATTTTTGTGTAATGTCAACCAATTGACCAATTCAGGAGATGTTATTGTCACTTAACATCTCGATTTGTATGTAATGTCCCATTTTCACAAGAAAAATTTTCATCTTTAAATAAGGTAAAATCATCTTTTACAAAAAAAAATCAATTTATAAGAAACTCATTTGCTCCAAACATACAGTTGTTTGAAATCAGAGTAATATAAATACTGTGGAATCTCCATTGCTGTTGATGTATGTGTACAGTCACGTCTTCGCATTCCCACGATCACCAATGGTACCTAAAAACATTAAATCTACAACTGTACGACAAAGCTTAGTGAGTTCCCCCAAAATATCACATACAACACAACATAATAAATAACTATGAGTTATCAGCAACCATGGGGACCATCAGCAATCCTAATGGGCTAACAACATGTCGTGTGGGCTAGCAGCATGTCATGTGGGTTATCAGCCACCATGGGGACTATCATCAGTACCAGTGGGCTAACAGCATGCCCTGTAGGTTATCAGCAACCCTGGGGACTATTAGCAGTCCAAATGGGCTAACAGTATACCCCAGAGCTAACATCAGCTCAATAACACATAAAAACAATCAGCAAATAAGAAAATAAACACATGCAACATCTCTATACTAGTTTACCAGACTAACAGCTCACTACCACCTGTCGGGCCTCACACAATACTATACATCACCATTATCAGACTACTATTGAATGCATAACGATATGTAATCAGAGGTGAGATAGACAGTCGGACAGATGATCCTACTGTAGAGCCACTACCAAACAAGGATCATGCAAGAAAACTTAGATCAAGAGTTATGTGGCTATCTAACATGACTACATACAACCCCTAAGGCACCCAATTAGACGATCATCAACCTTCTGGTACTCTAACCAGCAGTTTTGAGTTATCAGCAACTTGGTAACTAACAACCTGCAGCAACTAAGACTCAACTAGTCTAGTAGGCCCCTACTATGACTTAGGTAATATAATGATAAAACTCACATGAATCGAAGACCCAAAGGAAACACAACAACACGCCTACTCCTTATATTGATCGCTCTCTCGAACCGACTAGCACCAAACAATGGTGGAACCTTAATCAATACCCCAATTCCTTCAAGTCTGACCTAAATTCAAACTGGTCAAAAAAGTCAGTTGTCAACGGTCAAACCCTCACCACATCGTTGTAACATCTGGATAAAACAATCGCGATATCCTCAAACGTCACAATGTGACGGGCATATTGGTACGTCGTAGGACCTGATCCTAGACAGCTTAATGGATTAATCCCTTTGTCTATTAAGACACGCACTCATCTCCACTAAAATGATTTCTTACACCTAAAGGATCATAAAAATTATTGCTTTATAGACATGCATTCTCTATACAAGTATTGAGCTCAAGTTAGATCATACATGATGAAAAAGAGGTCAAAACCTCATACATGGGTTCAAAACTCTACCAAACTTCAGAGCTAACACACCTAACCACAATAGGACTCAAAGGATCCATAAAGTTGCCAGCTTTATGGAATCCCAATATTTTAACTAGTCTAAACATGGAGAATAATGCGTCAAAATATAGATCTAGCAACATAGAATCATAAATCTTGGAGCTTGAATACCTACAAAGATCTAGAGTAAGTGCTAGAAGATGGTGATGAAACTTGCAAGCTGGATCTATGCACCAAGGGTGATTCATTCTCCTTCAAGGCACCAAAAATACCACCAAAAGCTCAAGAACTCAACAATGGAGACTAGGGTTTCGTTGAAAGGGTTGGAGGCTGAAGAGTGATGTGCACAGATATACATACCAGTTTTAAATTTCTAACCTAACAAAACTTAACTAACTATGCACTTATTGGCAGTGCACCTAGTCGGATTATAGAAGAGTAAAGTAAGTCGAGTCTCGATCACATGGAATGATATTTAATTAATAAAACAATTACTAAAAGTTAAACAAAGAAAAACAACTAAAATAATGGGTTTTATCTGATTTTGCAATTTCATATTAACTTAATTAAAATACTCAACTACTTACTAAAGTAATCAACTAGAAAGACGATTTTAAATCAAGAATAAAAGATACTTACGTTTAGCTTCGAATCCCTCATTTTTCCTATGGTTAAGTTCGAGACAATGGATTAATTCTGTTAGTTACCAAAGAAATGTTACTAGTCATCATGGTTAAACTAACTAGCGTAAGTTAATTCATGAATTTTAACCCTAATGATCATGCAAGATAAGGACACTAATTTTATTTTAAAGATAATTTGGACTCTGAAAGATAAAATTTATAGACTACTATTGTAACGTCCCCATTTCACAACCAATTTTTTTCAAATTTTATTAAGGTAAAACTCCCCAATTTATTAACCCATTATTTAAGAAAAACCATTTATTCCAATTTAAATTTATTAAAAATCAGAGTATTGTAGAAAACGCGGAATCTTCAGTGTTGATGATGAGTGTGTACAGTCCCGCATTCGCCTTCCTGCAATCACCGATGATACGTGAAACCACAAAAACTGGGTAAGCATAAAGTTTAGTGAGTTTCCCCCCAAATACCACCACATACACATAACAAACTACAACATGCATACAGAGCCTTCAGCCTGACTGGAACGCCGCACCGGCCTACAGACTATCTGGAACGCTCACAGAACCTTCAGCATGACTAGAATGCCTTACTGGGCCTTCAACCTATCTGGACCGTTCTCTGAATACCAGGGTTTGTTGGCTTACCACCTCAACCCATCCGCTCCTACCGAGCCTCCGTGCCTTCAACTTACATCCGGCCCGCACAGGGTATCTTGGAATACAGCACATTGCATGTGTAACGCCTGTAGATTCGGGCTAGTCAATTTAGAGACAATAAGCGTAAAAAAATGACTTTTTGATGGAATATTATTTATAAGGAATATTAACCAAGTTATATTATATGTCACAAGGGTTTCGTGCATATAAAGAACGCTGAAATCCGAGTTATAACAAAGAAGTTATGACATGTCGAAATTTTACGGCAAAACCGACATGACAACGGGAATCGTAAAAACTGAATTTTTGATAAATTACTCTTTAGCCTTAGGTATCTAAACAAAAGTCGTAGTATATGTTAAACCGAGAACGTACATAAAAATAACGTCCAAATCCGACTTCGTATGAGGAAGTTATGATTTTCTAAGATTTAGCATAACAATGTACAATCCGAAATTCGAATTTTAGATCGATCGATTTATAGCCGACACAATCTAAACTAGAATTGAAGCTCTCATTAATAGGAGTTCAACGATAAAAATATAGTCTAAAACGGAGTGCGTATGTAGAAGTTATGAATTTTACACGGTCGTTAAACAGTGTAATCTTCTCATACTGTTAAATTTAAAATCGGTCGAAAATTAGCCGATTGAGTCCAAAGGATAGTTGTAGATATTTTCAAAACCTACGCGTGGACATAAAGAACGTCGAAAACGGAGCTCGTATGCGAAAGTTATGGAATTTAGAAGATGGAAGGGTGCTGCTGCGAAGGGGGTGATGTGGCTTAATCTGGACTATTGCTTCCTCCCCACGCCTTGCCACCAGATGGTGACACTTGGCACTCAACTCAACGAGTTGGAGGCTCAAACTCATCGAGTTGGGCCATTTTTTAGCCTATAAATACCATGCGAAGCTCACCCTTTTTCCTCACACCATAACACTCCTCTCTCTCTCTCTAACATCTCTCTAAACCTCTCCCAAACCCTAGTAACTCCTAATTGATAGAGGAAAACCCCGA